GTCAATGTACCCCATCTTTGGTAGATCCTACTCTAACAGCCAAATGTCGGCTAAATTAGCTACTTACCTGTGGGGAAAATCCATCTCGAGTTCTCTGCAGTACAAGGCTAAATACGGCTCAGGGATGAGGCACCTGTGATAGGGAGGGGTGCAAAACCAAGGAGTTGGCTAGACTCCTAAATATACATATTTGTGGTCGGAAACATTATAGTAATATGCGTGATTCGTGCAAAGTTGGTTGGGGTGTGCCGTAACTAATGTACGGGTAGGCCTGTAATAAAAGAGGGCCCACCAAGGGTAATATATTATTATTATGATATTTATATAGCGCCATCAAATTCCGCAGTGCTTTACAATGGGTGGACGAACAGACATGTAGTTGTAACCAGACAAGTTGGACACACAGGAACAGAGGGGTTGAGGGCCCTGCTCAATGAGCTTACATGCTAGAGGGAGTGGGGTAAAATGACACAAAAAGGTAAGGATAGTCTTAGACTAGTGACAGTTGCAGAAGAGGAATCCGTCAGGAGCTATTAACAGTTCAATTGACACGCTTTTATGAAGAAGTGGGTGTTTAACGATTTTTTGAAGGAGTGGAGACTGGGTGAGCATCTAACGGAGGAGGGAAGCGAGTTCCACAGGAACGGTGCAGCCCTCGAGAAATCTTGAAGATGAGCATCAGAGGTGGGAGTACGGACAGAAGATAGACGTAAGTCTTCAGCAGATCGTAAGGGCCTAGACGGGACATACTTGTGTATAAGAGAGGGTAGATAGGTGGGAGCAGCATTATGGAGCGATTTGAAAGCAAGAACCAGAATTTTAAATTGAGCTCTATATTTTATAGGAAGCCAATGTAGGGACTGACAGAAGGGTGAGGCATGGGAGGTGCGATTGGACAGGAAGATGAGCCTCGCTGCCGCATTCATTATGGACAGTAACGGCGCAAGTTGGGAGCACATAAGACCACTGAGAAGCGGATTACAGTAGTCATGGCGAGAAAGGACAGTGGAATGGACCAACACCTTAGTAGCATCTGGCGTCAAGTAGGGGCGGATGCGTGCAATGTTTTTGAGATGGAAATGACAGGATTTGGCAATAGATTGAACATGAGGCTTGAAGGAGAGGTCGGAATCAAAGAGAACACATAGGCAGCGAGCCTGCGTGGTGGAGCTGATGGTAGCACCGTTGACTTGGAGGGAGACACAGGAGGGAGAAAAGACCAGAATTTCAGTTTTGGTCAAGTTTAGTTTAAGAAAATGGGCAGACATCCAGTTAGAAACAGCAGAGAGGCAGTCAGATACAGTCAGATATATGATGCCTAAGGGGTGCGGTGACCTGAAAACGAGCATAAGAGGTAAGAGGGTGATTGGTGGTTTATAGGTCCAAGATAGATTTAAACTCCTCCCACAGGCCTTTGGCCTTAAAACTTGTGGTCGGAAACATAATAGTAATATGCGTGATTCATATAAATGCAAAGTTGGTTGGGGTGTGCCGTAACCAACGTACAGGTAGGCCTGTAATAAGAGGGCAAAAAGTATCAAAGGGAAAACACACTTTATTGCAACAATTTATATAACCAAACTTTTAAATGCTTTCCTCATTTCCTTCTCTGGATGAGGAATATATCTACAGTAGACCGAAGATTCCATCTCCCCAATTTTTTGATAATATGTGCTGGGGTATTTGTGCTGGAAGCGGCACAGGCTGCTCCTATCCTAAATGAATGTCCTGAGAATGAGGCAGGGTCAAAACCTAGTCTACGTAATAGTGTTCTGATGTAAGTTATGAATTTAGACGTTGTGAGTGGGAATCCTTCAAGTGAAAGTAGTGGCGAGTCGTGGGTGGTCTATATATATGTAACGGACCATTTTGCACAAAAGGGGTAAAAAGGGGTTAACAGCCGTTTAGGAGATCTTCCCCTTCCAGAGATACAGGCACAGCTACTGCAGAACACCAAACTCCCGAACTGGATACAAAATAGCACTCCAACTCCCGAACTGGAACCTCCCAAATAGCTGCTAGCAGACGAACAGGAAAAGCAGACAATCAGCTTACACTCCTGGCAATCAGTCTCTATCAGCATACAGTAAATCCCCCCAAAGACGAGACAAGGCTCCGTGTTGAGGGTCAAGCAGTGGTCTGAGGTGCTGGCACACCCAGCCTGGTTTTTATTACAGTCTTTTCAAATACAGGACCGCCCACAGGGAGGTATAAAACAACCAATCACATTTCAGTTACATCCCACATATTCCCTCCCCTTATCCTGAGAGGAAACTCAATTACACATACAGTTAAAACATACTTTCTACCCAACTTTCATAACTCTAAAACCATACATCACATTCACATAAAATTACATATTCACAATCAATCCATTCAGGGGAACAACATATTAAAAAATGGCATGAATCAGACCAGGGGTTCAAAAGTTAGTAAAAGTATATTTTGGGCCCTGGCTGGCACATGGATATCTGGCTCAAACAGGTTTTACAGAGCCCTCTATCCTGGAGACAATGGGGAAAGTAATCCAATTATCCAGGGATAGAGGCAGACTCCATTGAGCACATGGTTGCAAAAAGACATAAAACACTTTAAAATACATAAAGTCACCTTTTACACATAACACACAGACATTTCACATAGCTGGGATCTGAGCGCACAAAACTACCGAATAGCGCTCAGATCCTATTCACACAGTTCAATTGCCATGGAGCCGAAGTCTTTAACTACACGAATGGGCTCCATGGCATAGCTATCTGGGTGAACACATTTACATAAAGGGTGGTCCATAGTCCAAAGGCAGCAGACGGGCAGCCAGGCTTCTCCAATGCAATGTGGCGAGATTGCTCTCGTCACAATATATATATATGAGAAAACAATTCGCTGGCTGCACTCACCTAAACATGCATATATTCAAAGCATCCAGGAAATGGACACTATTGGCACCCAGACCACTTCAGCTTCTTGAAGTGGTCTGGGTGCTGTGTCCCTTTTGCACTTAGCGCTGCAATGTCAAAAAGTGCAGTTCCAGAGAAACTGCAATGTTTATTTTGCAGCACTAAGTCTGCCTCCAGTGGCTGTCTACCAGCCAGCCACTAGAGACGCTTCCTGGATTTAAACAGACCTTTGGTCTAGTATCTAATGCTGGACGCTCTGCATGAGGACCTCCAGTGTCATGGTTTCCCATAGGAAAGCATTGATTCAATACAGCTTTGTATTCCTGGCAATATAGTATTACTTTAACGCTTTTACAAAAGTAACATTTATATGAAAACATCAGACGTACATCTATCTTATGCAATTTGCAAAAAACAGCGTTTAGTACTGACCTAAAAATGTTAATTAGTTAGCACACATATAGAGAATCTTTAACCTTTATGTATTAAAAATATAATAAAGATTATACAGCATCCATTATATTGTAAAAGTTCTGACGGCTTCAGAAACATCAGCATATAATGACAAACTGCAGTTTTATACCATACAAAGGCATCAAGATTTTCAGAAAAAACAAAATCTGTTTCAAATGATTTACCTACTCAAGTCCTCATTAGAGGGATCCTATAGTGCCAGGAAAACAAACCCGTTTTCCTGCATTATAGGCTCCTGTATTGCCCCCCTCCTTCAGGGACCCCTTTAAAACCCATTCAGCCACTTACCTGAATCCAGCACTGATGTCCCACGCGAGTATTAGACCTCCCCATAATAGGAAAGCATTATTCAATGCTTTCCTATGTGGAAAATCTCACGCTGGAGGTCCATGAAGACGTCCAGCATCAGATAACGAACCAAAAGTCTGTTTAGATTAGACATGTGCAATTTGTTTCGGTCCGAATGTGAATTTGGATGAATTTTGGGCAATTCGGGTACTTCTGAATGTCCAAATAGATGAATTGCCGAATTGTCGAAGTCCTGAAGTTCTGACATTACTGAATTTCCAAAGTGTCGAAGTTCCGAAGTCTAGTATTGCCTAATAACTAATATACTTACCCAGTGGAAGAATGAAGAATGTTACACTGTATGCAATTTTAAATAAAAAGTATACAAACATAGCCAGGATTCAGCTGTAAGTATTTGCAACACTTACAACAATCAAGTAACTACATTCATATAAAATGTAAGTTACTTGGCCAGTCAATGTAAAGACAAGAATGAATAAGTAGATAACTCCCTAATTCCCACAGTATTAGGGAGCTTTCTACTAAAAGGCTGAAAGACCTAAATTGGTCTTTCAGCCAAATTTACTAAGTAAAGATTACTTAGTATTAGTAAATTATGCCCCTACTCGCGATACCGCGAGTAGGGGCATGTCTATTAAACAGTGAGCAGCCTATGGCAATAAGGGGGGGAGCCTATTGTCCTCCCCCTGGCCTCCACCCCTGAGCGGCGGGTGGGGGCCCTAAATACCAATAAGGGGGGGACGGACCTATTGTCCTCCTCCCCGGCCCCGACCGCTGAGCGGCAGATGGGGGCCCTAAATAAAAATGTTACCTCCCCAGGTGACTATGGGGCCCCAAACCCCTAGTCATCCCCCTCCCCAAAAAAACTAACCCCTACCTAGCCCCCTCACCCTAAAAATAATGAGGGGGACCATTAACTAAGTACCCGTAAAAAAAATAAAACTTACCATTTGATGTTTTCTTTCTTCTAAAATCTTCTTTTTTCACCCCCCAAAAAGGCCAAATAAAAAATCCATGATAACAGACGCACTTAAAAAAAAAAACGAGTACAAAAAATAAATAATCCATCTTCACCCATGGAGGGCTCCGCACAGACTGAGCTCGGCAGGGCGGGGGAAGGCTTATAAAGCCTTCCCCCTCCCTGCAATTAGGCTCAGAGCACTCTGACTGGATGGACTTAAGCCATCCAGTCAGAGTGCTCTGACAGGTAAATGAAGAGACTGACAGGTAAGTCTCTACATTTACCTGTTACAGCACTCTGATTGATTGGCTTGAAATCCACCAATCAGAGTGCTCTGTGTAGTTTTACACAGCGTGGAAAGTTCTTTGGAATTTTCCCATGCTGTGTAATTTGACTCATAACACTCTGATTGTTGGATTAAGTAACCAGAGTGTTATGAGTCAAATTACACAGCGTGGGGGCTTGGGAGGGGGGACCCTTTTTTTTAATTTATTTTTTATTTTTTTAACAGTTAGCAGCCACAGAAGTATTCTACACTTCTACTTTTAGTGTAGAATAATTGTGAAACTGAACAAACAGGAACACTAAACACTACTAAACTCAATGACGGCTTATCGCATCACCCCACAACCCTCCCGCTCAAGTCAAGGGTGTGTCTGGATGTAAAGAGGATTGTCAATCAACTAGGAATGCTGGGGTAACTAAAAACCTATCGATCCTAGAAAAGTAATCATGTGAAATGTGGAATCCCTCTGTCTGCTGTGTAGTATCCTCCATGGGTTTCCAAATTGCTTTTAACAAATAACTGACAACTTTATATAAACTTTAAACCAAAAGTGGGAATTTTTCCCTAAATATTGCAAAGTAGAAGCACATTTAGAGTTCTCGGGAATCACCAAAATAGCTGGTTCTTCCCATTTATTTAAAAAAAAAATGTGTATTTTCATTTTTTTGTTTCATTGTTCATTTAACTTGAATTTACATGTTCAAATATTTTAGTTTTTACTGTTTGAAACTGTGGTTTGAGTGTATGAGAGCAACTGTAAGATCTATCTTGAGTTTTTCTTTGTGTACATGGGCTTTTTCAATATACAATTTGAACACAACAAAAATAAATAACCCCCAGCAATGTATTATAAAGGATAATCTGGTACTCTGTGTGATTCTGTGAGTTATCACTAGAGGGCAGCATGTGTACAGATTCTTGTTACAGAACATGCTATTGCCAGAAATTTGCTATTTTAGCCTTTAAGCAACAAAACATCTGTTTAGTCATGATTTCTTGGAAAAAAAACAGATCATGAATTTATTCTGTACATGAGGAACAATAGTAAGCTTTATTATGACTTTGCATCATTCTGTCTGAACCATTGCAGCAGCACACAGTGGAAACACTAGTGAAAGTGGTCCTGACGTGTACAAAAAGTTACATTAATCAGCGTGCATTACAACCTGCCCAGATTTTGTACGATGTCTTAACTTTTCTTCAGACCTACCAAAGAGTGTCATTCTGAGTGTGCATGGTTACTCTTCCCCTGAATCTTGAATCTGCTTGGAGTCTGTGTAATAATGGAGCTGAAACAACGGACGGTAGTAGGAATATTTGCAGCAATGAAATTAAATGGAATTTTTGGAGCAGGTGCACCTGGACAAAGCTGTGAAATGATAGGTTCATTCCTAGCATTTGGCATGGCAGACTGAACCTCACACACAGTCCTATCTGTAGCCCTCAGACAAGAGTACATATGGTGGATGATGGATGTGTTGTTGTGATAAGCTAGCTCAGGAACAGGTAAAGAGATGGAGTCCCAAAAACATTCCTCCAATACATTTTCCCCTAAAAAACATTTTATTGTTTTAAAGAAACAAACTTATTCCTACCCTATAGCTGCTGGCTCGGCCCTTTGACCTGCTTGCTGTCCTCTGACATCATCAGAAGTGGTGGTCTGAGCCAATCACAATGTTTCCCCATAGGATTGGCTGAGACTGTCAAGGGGGCAGATCAGGGGCAGAGCCAGCACAATTCAAACACAGCCCTAGCCAATCAGCATCTCCTCATAGAGATGCATTGAATCAATCATCTCTATGAGGAAAGTTCAGTGTCTGCATGCAGATGGGGGGGGGGGGAGACACTGAATGGCAGTGCTGCTTACTTTGCAGCACTGCCCAAGGAAGCACTTCTAGCAGCCATCTGAGGAGTGGCCAGTGGAGTTATCACTAGGCTGTAATGTAAGCACTGAAAAGACAGTGTTTACAGTGAAAAGCCTGAAGGGCTGCAATAAACTGTAGTTGTTCTGGTGACTGTAATGTCCCTCTAAGTAAACCAGGGAAATGATGAGTGCCAAGGTTATAATGGGGCAAAACCATCCAGCTGCATATGGGCCACTTGGTCTGCAAAATTCAGACAATGTTCACACTGTTTAACAATGTCCTCATTTTGCAACTCAGGCATCAAATGGCCCTGAATTTGGTCCAGATTTCAGCTGGACAGAATGTTTCAAATTGCTATCAGCCAAATGCTTCAAAGCGATACCAGCCAGTGGGCAAATAGTTAAAAAAAATCCACTGCGAATGGTGCTGATACACAACCACTCATAATTGACACCCCTCAGTAGAGGAGTACCGACAAGTTGGCCCAGCCACAAAGAAGGGCAGAAAATGATAATGGACCCAGGCCTTCACAAGCTATAAAACCCCCAATCCCCCCCCCCCTCCCCACCAACTCTAGTCTCTTGCAGCACTGGTATCATGCACACGTGCATGTTACTCTAAGGGAATCATCACACAAACCCACATACAATCTCTCCCTACCAACATTGACAAATTCTACTATACTCGCAGCTCCATGATTATCAATAGACATACGTGTCCACACGGACTCATATAACCTCTACACAAAGCACTCATTTGTATGAAACAATTACGATCTCGCTTATTGTCACAAGATGTAAACTGATAATGGAATAAGATTACCATGGTATACAAATATGTTCAGAATACGTATAAGCACTGTTTTTATGTCACTACTATTGTACGTCATTATGTTGAGATGGGCCTGCGTGCCCAAAACGTGCTCCACTTGCTTAATAAAACTCAAAATAAACAGATTAACAAAAAAAAATAAAAAAAATACACTGCGGATCAATTCAGTGGCAGCTGGACAGTGCTTGCTAGCCAGCTGCCTTATTAAATTGTAAATAAATAAAATCCTATGGGATACAATAAGACACCGATGTTACTACAAGGAAGGCTTAAAAACTTCCCTATACACCACTTGTCATGTGGCAGATGAGGACATTTCATAGTGGAACTGCAATCCTGAAACTGAATATCTTCGCCGAAATCCTCTTGAGCTCGAACAAATTGCTGCTTTTCTATTAATTCTATTAATAATAAACAGGGTGACCTAATGTTCACACCACAACCTTCACACATTGGTGGCAGTTGGTGGCCCTAATAATTGTCATGCCCATTTTGTCATTGTGAAAAAATAATACCACGAACTTTAAAAAATGAATAATGAAATCTCAAATATAGGTACTACGAGCAAATATGAGTGGTTAAAATGCACCATAGTTTTCAGTTTGACATTTTTTACAAAAAACTTGTATTCAGACAAAAATCATCCTGCTTTCCCTCATATAGGGAAAATCCATTCAAGTGGTCTCCCCATAAGCTTTTAGCTTAGTAGAAAGACATTCTGACCATAACTTACAAAAGGATTATGCATGAGCACCATGAGAGAGGCATATAGGAAGATATTGTGTCCCTAGACACTATCAATGTACCAATCCACCACTTGCTTCAAGGAGTGAGACTTGGGCAAATTTCAGGTTTTGGCTAAGTAAAATTGTGTCACTATAAGAATATGAAGGAATAAGGCATGGATTTCTTTAGGCACTACGATATCTCCAACATAATGACAAAAGCAGCTAGGTACATTTTATGTATGTGCGTTGGTGGGAGATACCACCTACCGTTGAGCGGAAAGGCCCTTCCACCTGTGGAGGAAACTCAATATCTACCTCCCACCTCAACATATAAAGAGGAATTGGACTAGACAAGGTAGTAGCTGTTAAGGCTGAGTAACACAGCAGAAGCACCTCTGATTTATGTGACAAAAAAAGGATGTCGTAAACTGCGCCAAAAGATAGAAGTGTATATACAAAAACAGTGTCTAGTAAGATATATACATACACTTATTACAGGTCAACAGTTTCTGTTTTTAGAGAACCTCAGAACAAAACAGAATAAGAAAAGATAACAATGCAATATTTCACATCAGTTTTAAAGGATTTAACTCAAATGACACATTGCGAACCTCTTCCGTGGCATGGTGGGAAATGTAGTATTCATCCTTACCTCGCTGCCGCATTTCAGTCAAGTTCACATTGATGCAACAGTCACTGTTGCATCAATACCCTCTTCTATTGATTTAATATTACAGCCTTTCTCTATAAATTTCCCTATCATTTAGTTCGCCTGGATATTAAATGTGTCTATTTCGGAGCAATTTCTCTAATTATTTACTAGACATGTGCAGGCGTTATCGTTATTTCAGTTCTTTTGTTTAAAAGACTCTGTGCTGCAGGAGAATTAACCCCCACAGCACTGAGGAGAAACAAAAAAACCTGCAGCCCTGCATGGGTTAAATCTCCCCACTCTGGTGGCTAATGCTATTACTAGACTTCTCTGCCGGTGTACTCCATGCTACAGGAGAACTAACCCCCACAGCATGGAGAAGAAACAAAAAACACTGGTTCTCCCTGCAGCCTGAGACGGGGCGCGGGGTGGCACCTGTGCCAGGTCCCCCCTTATTGCACTAGCGACTGGGCAGAAATATTGTACTAGTAGTTTTAAATGACAGCGAGCAGCCACTGGCCACTCGCTGTTTAGGCGACATGCCCCTACTTGTAGGGGCATGCTGGAGGATTTAACCTCCCTTTTATTAATATGGGGGTCATAGTGATCCCCATAGTTTTTAATGCGGGGGGGGGGGGTTAAGGAATTGTTAAGATTTATTGCAAGGATGGAGCTGGTAGCTTTTTTTTTCTTGCGCATAGGCCGTGTTATTTTCATCCTAATGGGTGAAAATGAATTATTTTTTTACCGAATTTCGTCAAAAAAAACACAATTGTTTTATGGCCGAAATTCAGAATGGACGAATAAAATTATTTAATACAAATTAATTCGTCCAAAACAAAGATTTCACTGGTGCACTTTTTTGTGTGTGTGCAGATTAACATTACACGCTTGCCTTGCCACAACAGCTTTAGTAAGCCTACTGATGACAGAATGATAAACATTAGTATGGCAGTTCAGTTAACAGCACACTTTTATTTTTAAAACAACATTCAGAAACAGGTTGGCTTAAGGTAGGAAGAGTCTTCATATGCATTAAATTAGCTTGTAGTTGAGCAGTAACATATCAGTGAGTTTGCATAGTACAAGCAGTGTTTCAGAGGGTAATCACAACATGTCAGGAGTATCGTACGTTTGCAA